GGTAACATTAGATGATGAATAAATGGATATAGACAATAAATGAGTGAGAAGCTGAGGGCCACACAATGTCTAATAATGACTAGGGCTAATAAAAGGTCACCGAAAGCATGCTTGGCTCATCAGAAAAGTAGGGATAATAACACTTAATGGTAGTGGTGTTATAGGATTGGCATGAGCAGTAGGTACACACACTGGAGTAAACATTTCTATAATGTCAATAATACTGTGTCAGAAGTCCCATTTGCTACACTTCAACCATGGTTAGAGCTATCTTGTTTTTATTTTTTGTCTGGGTCAGCTTCAGACCTCAATCCTCCTACCCACACCTCCTGCATACCTGGGATTACAAGCATTCATCACCCCGTCCAGTGTGTTCTTTGAGATATGGTCTCATTGACATTTTCACTGGCTTTGCACCATCATCCTCCTGTTATCTTTGCCTCCCAAATAGCAGGGATTACAGCTGTGAGCCACTGTACCTAGTCAGAGAATATATTTCTTGTAATTGATGAACTTACATTTTATTCTCTACACATTTTTAGCAGTAGAGTTTTATTGGTGTACATTAAATTGTAAGGTTTTCTTCATAACATTTCCACACATGCATATGATATACTTTGATCATATTTACTTCCTCTATTAGAGTCAGTTTATTAATTGAAGTTTTTCATGAAATAATTTTTCAGGGAAAGTGAATAATGAACATAGTTGTATTTAAAAAATTGTAAAATTTCTAAAAATTCATACTCATGAGAATTTTGGGTTACATATGTATCATAATTCAGATGTTTAAAAATTTCATAAAGATAATACAGTACATATGCTATATTTGTCAACACATGTGGTAACAACTCAACACACATCAGTATTTTGTAATTGAACATATTAATAACCATGCCAAATTTATTAAGACTAAAAATAGGCTTATATATCTGGATTGACTCTGGTGTCAAATAAATTAGTGTTAAGTATAAGAGATGATTTTCAGTTTTCAAAGCCTTTTGGATTTGGTAATTGTGCATTAGGAGTCATTTTTCATCTTCTGAAGAAAAAAATAGTTTTATTTTGGTATATCCAGATAGCAGGATTAAAGGATAATTCAATAGAAGGAAGAAGGAAAATTTTGGCTACATAAGGGAAAGAACTTCCCCACAGTGTTTGACCATACTAAAATGGCACATGAACCCTTAGAAATCCTGCAGATTCAGTGCTTCAGTCTTCGTGGTCAAACAGAAATGAATTATGCATTTGCCTCATACTTTTATATATGTAATATGGGTACATTGTGACATTTATAAAAGTTCTTACAACATATTGTATTTGAATTCACCCCATCTATTATCTACTTTATTCCCCTCAACAATTCCTGGAAAAGTTTCAACAGGTGCATTTTTCCATTTACATATATGTGTACATAATATTTCTACCATATTCACCTTCCTACATCTTTTCCTTATATCCTCCCCCCTCCCATTGGTACCAAACCCCAGACAGGACCTGTTTTGCCTTCCTGTTCTCCATTTTTGTAAAAAGAAAACCTGACATTTTTGTTTGCTTAAGACAAACAAACCTGACATTTTGTTTGCTTCATTGTGACATTTCCATGTATATATGCATTATAACATGAATTTGTTCATCCCCTTGTTTTTCTCCTTTCTGCTGTAGTCCTCTTCCTACAGGGACTTGAACAAGTTTAAAATTCTATATTCATTCTTGTATACAAAGTACCTCAACCATACTCACCAATCTTCCTTCTTTTACACTCTCTCTCTCTCTTTCTCTGGTATGTGACCTTTCCATGCAAGACCTGTTTTTCATATTATCCCTTACTTTTTTGAACTTGATATATATTTACCATTTGGGGCCTTCCTCCAACTATCCTAAAAATACAAATATACTTACCTTTAAAAAAAGAACATTTTCTTTGATTAAACAAAAATATTACATTTTAAATAAATTCTAAAGTTAAAGTCAAAAGCCAAACATTCAATAAAGAAAGACTAGACTATAAGCAGGAGTCTTGTCTGTCTTGGTCTCTGCTGATTTGATATTCAGGTTCTAGACACTGGGATGTGTTAGGTGCTCAATAAAAAGGAATAATTGAACATGCTGTCAATATAACTAGTTGAAATTTACAAATGGACTTTAAATATGGAATTAGGAAATTCAGTGATATGCATCAAAACATACTTTTCCTCTTGTGGTTTCTATTTTGAGTAGGGCTATTTATTACAATCCTTTTGTCTTGCTAGCTACCTTTTGATTGTTTTTAATTTAATGAGGGAATATCTTCCATGGGCATTATTAGCTCAGCTTTGCAAAAAATGATAATAAAAAAGACCCTGAAACCCTGGGAATGTTAAGATTTATATGGATATATACACACACAAACACAATGGCAAAATATTTCAACTTTTATTTTTAATTTGTCCATCATAGTTGCTTCTAAGTGCTTTGATAATTTTGATAGGCACTTTGGAAATATGTTTTTAGTATCTTTTTTTCAACGGTGCTCTTTCATACTTTGAATTAATTGGTTTGCTTGTCAGTATTTTACTTAGGCTTTGAAATTCTGTGTCTGGATGTTTGTTTGGAATGTTAATAACACAACCCAAAATGAAGTTTAACCATTCCCTTCCCTAAAATGTTGTTTAAGTTTACAGGGTTGAAGATGTCATATTGTCTTTCAACAAACCAAAAACAAAGTAATAATCAGAACACACTGAAATTTCAGGTAAGAAAAGTTTTAGGTCACATAATTGAAAAATAGTTTGACCTAGTCTTTGAGACAACAGTGCATTTCATGTTTCTGTTAGATGACTGAGAAACAGACTGCCTAGCTTTTCACCCCACCCAAAAGAATGGCCAACTATCAAAGAGTTCTCTCAACCATATGTCAGTCAAGATGTTCAGGTTTCTTTTTGGCTGGAAATCCTGCTCAGAACAAAGATCTTTCATGGGAAATTCTGAGATGGCAATAAGAGGTGCCCAGTCTGTCTGCTCATTGTAATAATCCAGGTATTTTTTTGTCTTTCTGCAGATGCTTGGATGGAGACATTCACAGAACTATTAATATACATGCTAAAGAAGTTTTTTTTTTCAAAATAAAGTTTCATTTTCTATCTGGTTAAATTAGCCATAGATTAGCTATAGAGTAATGTGTTGTTTTATTTTTCAGTTACTAATTTTTAAAAGTCAAAAGTTAAATCTTCCAAACAAACTGAGTTTTATAACTTCTTGGTCATTAGAGATTGTGAGCCTGAGACTCTGGTGGCAAATTGATTTTTCATTTTTCATGCCATTGCTATGATGTGCAAATGCCCTGAAAAGGAATAGAGTTTTATACCATTGTTCCAGATTAAATGTCTCTGTAGACTAAAATTGTAGTAACACTTTAATGAAAATATAGCTTATCATGTATCATTTTAGGTAACTATATAATTTTGGTTTTCAAAGTTTATTTAAAAGTCAAGTTTTATATGACTGATACACTGAACTCATGACTATCCCTATACCCAATGGCGTATGATAGTTATCGTGGCTATGTTTCAACATAAGTCATCATATTTTTGTTTTTCAATTTTTTATTGTAGTAAAATACACATATCATAAAATTTACTGTCTTAACCAAATTTAAGTGTACAGTTCAGTGGCATTAAGTTCATTCATAATTTTGTTCAACCATCACTATCATTCATCCTAGTACCTTTCATCCTTTGTACCCATTAACCAATAATTCATCATTACCCTTTTCTCTTAGTCCCTGGCAACCATCATTCTGCTTTCTGTCTTTATGGATCTGACTACCTGCAGGATCTCATATAATTCTGGAATCCTACAGTATTTGTCTTTCTGTGACTGGCTTGTTTTACTTAGTGTAATGGTCTCAAAGTTCATCCACATTATAGCAAGTCACCATGCTTTCATTGCTTATTAAGACAAACCCTACCTAACTTTTCAATTTTTCTCCAGTTTTCCATGTTCCTTATGTTCTCAGGCTTGAGGCTGTATCACTTCAGTTGATCTGATAAGAATCGTTTAAGCTGAAGATGTTAAATACATTCACAAGATACATTTAAATGGAACACATTTTTAAAAAAGAAATTTAGAATCCAAAAATATCATACAAGAAGGATAAGGGTGTGGTCTTTCTTGTTTGTAACTAAAATTTTTTTACTAGTAAAAAAACATAGTCTACTTATAAACTCAGTATTCTTACCTATTGAGTGAATAATCCAATAAGAATTTTAATACTTTTTCAATTTAGGACAAACTAGATTTCTTAACAGCAAAAACAGTAAAATATCTCCCTAAAGGGTTTCAATATTCCATCACTCCTTTGGCATTAATTCCCAGAGAACTGTTTCTAATAAATTTTAATGTGTATAAATTACCTGAGCAAGTGACCAAGTAAAATTCCAGATATCAAGAGAGGAACTGAAAAGGCGAAGTATTCCAAAGTTGCTTAAGAGATGGTGTCAACAGGGAAAAGAATGAAAGACACTCGTGCTTGAGAAGAAAGAAAACAATGACAAACTTCTACATTAGTTTTCCCCTCTTGGGTTTGTCCTAAAATAGAAGGTAGGTAACTGAAAGACAGGACCAAGGAGAAGAGAAGAATAATTACTCAATGGAATATGGAGCAAACAGGGGGGATCAGGGATAAAGGAGAATGGTGGAGGGGGTGAATTCAATTATGATACATTTGATACATTATAAGAACCTTTGTAAATGCCACAATGTACCCCTGCCCAGCAAATAAAAAAAGTAAAAAAAAAATTATTCAAGATGTTCAGAGTTTCTGTCTAGAGAGTTGCTGTGAGGGTAGTCACAATAACTCTCAGAAGCAGTACTGATCTTGTGTCTTTCTGTAATTAACACTTCATTTCCTCCTTCAAGGTGGATCCTAGTTTAGTAAATAATTATGCAATATTTAGTTTAATCCACACTTGCATGTATGCATCATAGTGATTTTCCAGAAGTTGTCTTAATTATTTCTCATGGTTGCAGATATAAAGGGCAATGGAAAAATTGAAAGATATTTTTGGCTTTAAGTTTGTTATATTAGCAACTCAAGAATGGACAGAAAGCATGGGAAATACGTAGTGAATGTGGAACCCTCTAGAAACCAGCCAGTGAGTATCACTTCTCTCTTTACTTAGAGTCTCATTTTCAGCATTTAAAAGCTAGTTAAACTTTTTACTACTATGTAGTCAAGGTCATAGTTATACATTCTTCTCCAGAAAAAGAAGAGAAGACCTGTGTGAGATTTGCTCCTCCAAGTTTCCTGATGTATCTTACTATACTATAATTTAGACATTTAAAATATTTATATTTAGATATAAATCATTAGGAATGTTTCTATGACTATATGACATACAAATAAATCCATTTAACTTTCTATATTCACTATTATGTAAATAAAATGCTTCAATGGCATGATTGGCATATTATGGTTTTATAATTTGATGCTTAGGTTTTTATATCTATAATTTCTAGACCTATTAGGACTCAGATTTCTAAATATGCTAGAAAATCAGATATTAATCTTAGATACTGTGTTTAGACTTAAGAAAGAAACCTTCTAAAACACTTGCTTCATGTAAAAATATAAATTTGTCTACTTTTTAAAAATGATTTTAAATCAAGAGCTGTCTTCACTCTAGAGTTTTCACAAGTGCTTACGTGTGTCTGTTTCTAGCAGACTAAATCATCTTTGGTATCAGAACAAAGAAAGGAATGGTTTTGAAAATTAAAATGCTAAGTTAAAATTCATTGCCTAAAGAGTGAATAAAAAGTGCGTGAAGAAATATTTATCTTTGCCATGCAGAGCTGTGGCAATTAGCCTGCACTAATCACTTAGGAGATAAACCAGAGAAGAAAGTCCTGTTTCTCAATCAGTGTTAGTCAAATAAAAGAATCCCAAGGGAAAGCCTAGCTCACCAAAAGAAAAAGTTTGCACTCCTGAGAGTGTTCTCTTTTCCTCTTCTGAATATGATATTCTGTATTTGAATCTTCAAGATGTCCAAATACTCAAACAGAAAAAAATATTGCCCTTAGTATTTACCAGCTTGATAGTTTTCCTACAGAGCAACAATGTTGAAGATGTTTATAAATATTATCGCAAGTTGTTTTTTTTTAACAGAAGATACCTGGATAGCTGACTGTATATTTCGGATTATTAAACATATTTAAACATAGTTATAAAATATTTTTCTCTTAAGACCAAATTCAATAATGGAATTAAAAATTGTTGGAAAGTCATAAACAGAGAGTAAGTTTTGATGTTTTGCTTTTTTTGTGCTAGAGATACAAGAGATTTTAACTTACAAAGTTAGGGTAGGGGAAGAACCTTCAGAATTTTCCTTTGGAAAATGCAGTTCATTCACTTCAGTTGCCTCCAGCTATTATTAGCTAATGCCAATTATCTGACTAAACATGAACCACATTTTCCACCTGTTGCAATTTTGTAGCGACTCCACCTATACAAACAGCCAGAGCAATTTAACACAGTAAAATTATCACTTAGGCTGCAATATCACTACAAAGCTAGGCGCAGATCTTGGGTCTCCACCCTTAGTGGAGACCCACCCATCATCTTCTTTGAAAAGGCTAGCATTCCAACAGGGCCAGAAAATTCTGGTAAGCTAGCCTAGTGAGTAACTTTTTCTTTATTTGTAATGTATTAAAATGTCCAAGCTCATCAGCCATAGGCAAGCTAAATATTACCAAGGCAACGGAATCAGCACTTAGGAAAATAAGCAAGGGCGTTAATGTAGGTAAGTCCAAACTTTCCTTAAATGTGCCTACTGAAAAACAGGGGGAGGGAGGTTGTTAAATGTTTTCATTAAAACACAGAGCTGATTATTTCTTTGATATTACAGAAAAATCTCACTTAACTAATTATTTTCTGCCAAGAGTATTTCATCTATATTTAATAAAAATTGTATTTTTTGTATTTTAACAGTAGTTCCTAATGGATCAATGTCAAATTCTAATTTGACAGTTTTTGTTTGTTTTAGTTTAAGTTTTAATTGAACTCACTGGTTGGTTGACTATCAACTTCTATTTAGTAATGGGTTATTAAATCAACATGATCCAAGATAATTATTAGTAGAAGCAATAGTGATAAAAACACGAATGTCACTAATAACAATAATGGTAGTTAACATTTATTGAGGACACACTGTGTGCTAGACATAGCGTTATACATTTGCAGGTATTTACTCATTAATCATTGTAGCAAATGTACAAGTGGATAATCTTTTGAAGAGGAACAAGGCTGGTGAAGATGCTTTTGGCTCATGGCAAGAAAATAAACATTATTTCCCATGAAAGGAAAAGCCCCATATAGTTCTACATTATTTTTGAGATATAACAAAACTTTTGTATAAGATTCATAGGCTTACTCTGTCCTTATTGTAACTTTATTTTGTTTCCTACCCCCCCTTTAAAACGTCTTTTCCCCAAGGTCTTTCCCACAGAACTAATTTTCAATCCTTACTTTTCTTTCTTCTCAGTATTTTATAATTATTCCAGATATTATTAATTATATACAAATCCTCTTTATTTTCCTGTTAATAAATACTTTCTTTGAAAGTAGGAATTTTGTTGTTGTGAAGTGTTTTCACATTGGTATATGTCCAAAAGGAGCATGGCAAATACATATCATAAACTCTACAAATGATTTGTCCCTGACATGGTATCACAAATTCCACTGGATAGAGCATGGCGAAAATTGGGTGAAGGAGTCACTTTGAGAATTTTTCATGAGTACAGTGAAGGATAAGCTATACCAGGTGTAGTGTGTTAATGTGTATACCATATCAATATACTATACATAGTGTAGTATAATGGAAAGCACAGTGACCTTAATCCCGGAAGGTCGGGGCTCCAGCGCTTGCTATTGTGTTGTGATGACAAGTCACTTCAAGTCTTTTTGCTTCAATATTCTCATTTCCAAAGTGACCTGAGCAGGCTATACCTGATTAGCTGCAAGGACTTTTTATAGCTCCCCCATTCTATTCTTCATAGAAGAACATCTGTTCTAACTACAGCAACTTGCAACATAAGGATATTCAATGCATTCATGTAGTATGATAAAGAAGAGGGGATGATATACATACTCAGCTGGAACACTGGTAATTTATAAAAATTAGTTAAATGTAACATAATGATGTATTTATAGATTATTATAGGCATTTTGGTTTCAGAGTAAGACATTTATTTCTTTTAAAGTCACACTATTTTTGACAGAAGAGTTTAATTTTAGATGCTTCATCTCTGCAGCCATGCACGTGTCCAAATGACCAAGAGGTCCACAGTTCCACAGGCTGGTGTCCACCTTCACATGACATACCTGGCCATGTTTCCTCCAACTTGTCTGGAGTCTGGGTGAGCCCAGGAATCCTTGCCCAATCAGGATGCCCACAGCCAGAATCATCCAACACACAGATAATGTCTGCTATAGTCGGTTGCTCTGGGTTAGCATGTGTTGTGTGTAGGGATGCACATGGTATGTTTTTTCCTAGGAAATGTAGTTAATTACTTACTTGTCTGCATTCATGATATGATTTGCTGTATTCTCTGTACATTTACAAGTCACTGTGAAGCAGTTCCTGGGAAGGATATGATTTGATAGTCTCTGTTTTCAGAGAACTAATGTTCTTATCTGGAACTCAAATATTCATAATACACAGAGAACGTATGTGAAAATTAAAGGAATAAATTAAGGTCCAAATGTATGGTTGAGGAGTGGGTGGAGTAGCAAACATGCTGGCTATAAAATATAGTATTTAATTCAGTATAAAGACTTTGATGGGAAACTATCATATTTAAACCTGCATGCATCCTATTCTTTTGGTGATTGCCTTATTTTCTTATACTGTTGCAACTTCTGAACCTGTGTGTTGCACTTTATTTAGCTGTCTTGGTTCTGACCTCCAATGCATGTGATTGTGACCTAGAAGCCTAACTGTTCTCTGGAGCTTCTGCATTAATTTTGAGGGCCGGATTCAGCTCTGCGTAGTTCATGGCCTCATGTCAACTTGACTGAATTAATTTCACCTCATGACTGTATCTCTCATTCTTCATCCCATGTATACAAACTTGACCTTGACTATAAATTACTAATTTCACTTTGCAGTTGGGTTGTGTTCCCCAGCCTCTGAAGTCCTTCCCTGTATCTGATTAATCTTACTCTAGATGCTCAGAAGAAAAATCTGAGCTTCATTTTTTGATTCTAGATTAAAAAAATATCAAGTACTTATATTATTTCTGGGTCAATGTGAAAGGATGAATAAGTCTGATAGAATTAATCTTTGCAGAGGTTAAGCCATATCAATCATAGAATTGAAAGTGATCTTAGATAACATCTAGCTTGGTGGTTCTTAATCTTGACTGCATATTGGAGTCACCTGAGGATGGTTTAAGACTTATTAATGTCTGAGCTGCAATTTAGAACAATTAAACCAGAAATTCTGGGGGTGGACCCCATGCAACAATAGTTTTTAAAAGCTGCTTAGGTGAATCTGATGTGTTACCAGTGATGACAATGACTGACCTAGGCTCATTCCATCATTGACTAATTAAGGAAAGAAAGGTGAAGGAGAGTAAAGAGATTAGCCAGATTTCACAGTTTTTGCCAAAAGGGGTCAATGCAGGAGGGCTTGGGTTTCCTATAATCTTGTTACATGACAATTTCTTTCCCTAAAATGCTTTTCAAAAATTAATTTTTTATGGGCAGATGTCCATAAACATTATTGCCACTTCCCTTTTTTAAGCCTCTTACTGATTTCAGTGAAGGTAGTAAATAAGATGCTATTTGCCTTCAGGCTAACTTGGTCTTAGTGGTTCCTATGTCCTTGGCCCTTGTCCTGTTCTTGCTGTTTTGATGCTGCCACCTTTTTCATGAAAGCTTGGCCTTCCAACAAAGTCTATGCTCCATTTTTTCTAATATTTAAGATGTACTCTATTCTGCTTGAAAGCTATGAGTTTTATATTCTACTCTTTGAAGGTCTTGCTCTCATCCTGGGATAAAAAAATAACCTTTTGGACTTATAACCTATAGTGACTTTGTGTATGTTATTTAATATTTGCAACAACAATTTGAGAGATATTTCTATCCCTGTATTTCAAGACAAAGAGACTTGAAGACCAGAGAAGATAAGGGAATTTTTAAAGACTTCATAGCTCTGAAATTTCAATACAATCTCTCTTATTAAAGACTATACATTTCTACAATGCCATATTGCCTGCATAAGAATAGTAACAACAAATCTTTGCTAAAGAACTTTGTAATTAAAAATCCAGTTCAGTTTTGTTAATCCCACAAATTATAGGTCATTCCTATCACTGATTGATAAATGATAATATGGGAACTCAAAGAAGGTTAGCCATTTGCCTAAGCAGAATGTAGATTCCAACACAAGGTTTCTAATCCCATATCTCATATTTATTCTTTTTTTTTTTTTTTGCAGCACTGGGGTTTGAACTCAGGGACTCACGCTTGCTAGGCAGGCGCTCTACCGCTAGAGCCACTCCACCAGCCCTCATATTTATTCTTTTAAATGTACAGGCAAATAATCCAGCCTATGATAAAGATAAGAAGAAAATGAACAGGGCTTTGGTTTATCTAGCTGAAACATAAGTGATCAGAAAGCTTTTGGGAGCTTTTTTCAATTTTGCAGTTTTGGGTGTTAAGCCATACTAGGTAGGTCCTAGGCAGCCACCTACCTACTGAATATTAGGAGGTTATAAAAGGTTATTACTGGGAGTTAATTCATCACCTAGTGATTAATATTAATATTCCTTAAAGGATTGGATATTCTAAGAACAATTATGAAAACTGTCATAGTGTATCACTACTTACCTGGTAACATAATCACTGTCCAATACTTAGGTATTAGTGAGAAAATAGGTGACATTGGACACTGTGGTGAGTTGAAGGTGAGCCATGTGGCATTATGGGTGGAGGATGGAGGATAGAAAAGGAACTGTGAGCTGACAGAACTGTTTGCGAACAGTCATATTTTATAAGTAAGCATGGAATTTTAAAGAAGCTGAGTAGAGGCCAGTGTGGTCCATAGCCATCACACAAATACATAGCAAAGAAAAAGGAATCTTGGAGTAGAGTGGTATGAGCAGAGATGGAGAAAAAAATCAATTGATTTTTAGGATATACTTAGCAGACAAAGTTAACAGGGCTTGGTAATGGATGGGGAGATTTTAAGGATGACTTGCTTGGTCCAGGTTATGGAATGGAATGAATGGGGGGGTGACACTTAGTAACGTGTGGGAGAAATTAAAGTTTCACTTAGAAGATCATGATTTTGTTTGTGGACATGGTGAGTTTGGGACATCTTTGAGATCTAAGCTGTAAGAACCCAAAGGTTAGAGGTGAGGGCCGGACTGGAGATGAACACAAGAGTCATTTCGTTAAACCTATAGGAATGATGACACAGCTGGAGAACACATAGAGTGGCCATATCTAGCCCACCTCCTGCTTTTGGAGATAAAGTTCTATTGAAATATAACTGTGTTCACCTCTCTTCTCACTGCATAGACAGTGGCTCTTTTCACAATAGAGGCAGCTTGGCTTAACAGCAACAGAAATCAAAGACTCCCAAAGCTGAAACTGTTTACAGAAAATAGACCAAAAGAAAAAAGAGATAAGTACCTGAAAATGTTAATAATAAACACTGAAAATGAATAATGAGCCTTCAAAAGAAACTTAGAAGAAAATTCTGGGTAGTGAGGAGGAAATCAATGAAAATGGAATATCACAAAAGTGTAAAAAAGAGATGGTTCGGCTGGACATGATGGCTCACTCCTGTAACTCCAGCTATTTGGGAGGTGGAGGTCATGGTTCAAGTGCAGCCTGAACAACAGTTAGTCAGACCCCATCTCAACCAAGAAAAAGCTGGGTGTGGTGGCACACATCTGTCATCCCAGCTACAGAAGCATAAATGGGAGGATCATGGTGCAGACTGGTCTGAAATAAAGGGAAGACTCTATTTAAAAAAATAATTAAAGCAAAAAAGGGCTTGTAGAGCATCTGCCTAGCAAGAACAAGGCCCTGAGTTCAAACTCCAGTACCACCAAAATAAAAGAAAGAGATGGTTCAAAGAGAGAACAAGTCGTCTCCTGTGGGAATTGTTGCAAAGGACTTAAGTAAGAAGAGGGCTCAGACAAGTCAGTTAGATATCAGTGAAGACTGATGTCAGTGGAGACTTTTTCAGTGGCATGATAGGACCTGATGTCAGACTGGATTGGGTTGAAGAATGTGCAAATGGAGGTATTACAGTTAGCCAACTCTCAAGAAGTTTTGTTTTACAGAGAAACAGTAGCTAGAGGGGGATTTGAAACAAAAGGAGTTTTTTTTTGTGTGTAAAATGGGTGAGATTGGAACGTTATTGTAGGAAAGGTGACATGTTGCATCCAAGAGAAAGGGCCCTTAAAAGACTAAAGGCAGAGCAGACAGGATGGCAACCAAAAGACAAGATGGGGTATCTGCTTCTCACAGCAGTAGGATTGGCTTCTCTAGCATCAATCAAGAATGATGAAAAGGCGAATTCCAGGTGGATTTGGAAGTTAGTGGACATTGGAAGCATTTTCATTTGCTGGTTTTGAGTTTGCCAATGGAATAGGAAGGAGGTGAAGTCATTTTGTAGGCATAAGGAGGACCATTTGTGCAAAAGGATTGATGGGTGGAGATTATAGGTTTGAGGAGAGAAAAGAAAGGTTGAGGAAGTATTTAAAAATTGAGGGATTATCTTAATCCAAGACATACAGTAGGATGGGAGAGCAAGACAGAAAATGCATTTGAGGTGGTAATCACACATTGGTATTGATTCTGATCTGTCCAGAACTTTCCCCAACAGTGAAGCTGCTCCAGAGAAGGTCCAGCGAAAGAAGACAGTCACTTATTGCTAGTTAGAGAAGATGAGAAGGAAGTGCAAGAGATTTTAGGGAATTGACAAAGGTATTATTAAAGTAATAAGTGGATAAAGAGGGATGTGAGGGTGTGAACTTGTTTTAAGTACACTGTACCCATGTATGGAATTATCACAACAAAACCCCCTCGTATTACTAATGTGTGTCAATTCAAAAATTTAATAAAACTACTAAAATAGATTCTTTACTAAAAGAAAAAAGAAGAGGAATGTAAGCAAAATGCAGGCTGCTGAACCAAAGATTTTGATCAAACTAAAGAAAGGTCATTACGGATGCCTTGGACAAACAAGCTGGAAGAAGAGGGCATGGTGGTTGGAGGACAGAATTCTTGAGGAAGTGACATTGGAAGTAGAACAGTTTGGGATAGTGACAACATCAAGTAGAGGCAAGTGTGTGAAAGAGTTTACCATTTAAAGTCTTTTTCAGGGACAAGCATGGTGTTATATGCCTGTAATCCCAGCTACTCAGGAGATGGAGATAGAAGATTGAGATTCAAGGCCAGCCTGGGCAAAAGTTAGGGAGATTCTATCTGAAAAACAAACTAAAAGTAAAAGAATTGGAGCCACGGCTCAAATTTGTCTAGCAATCACAAGACCTGTGTTTAAACCCCAGCAACGCCAAACAAAACAAATGTATTTTTCTGCTCACATAAAAAGACACAGAGTAATGACGAGGGAAGAGAAATAATTGGAGCATAGGAGATTTTAAGGCAGTGAAAAGAACCTGTATGAAACTGTGTGTACAACACCAAGAGTGCACCCTACTGTAAGCTCTGGACGCTGGATGACTCAACTGTGACAAATGTTCCACTCTAGTTGGGGATGCAGCTGATGGGGGAGCTGTGAGATTATAGTGCATATGGGATATCTCTGTATCTTCCCCTTAGTATTGCTGTGGATTTAAATCGGTCATAAAATCTATTAGAAAGGACAAAAACATAGGAAAATAGAATGACAGATACTGGCAAATTATTTTTCCTCATGTTAGAGAAACCATGACATTACTTCCACTTTGGTTTTTAAGCCTAAACATCAGGGATACCTAGTGATTCAAAGAATGCTAATACTATAAATTATAAGTAATATGAAAGAGATGATAAGTCATAAGCATTTTTTGTCTTTATTGCTGACATTTTAATTCACACTCATAGGTGAAGCGGAATTGCTGCAATGACTGGTCTCTGTGGAAAGTCTTCCTGGCTTGTCTCTTAGCCTGTGTGATAACAACAGCAATTGGTGTACTCATATTAAGTCTGGTGAATCGTAATGGAAGCAATTCCTCCATTGTTATCCAGCTGCTTCCAAACAATGGACAATCTACAGTTACTGTACCTGTAACAACCTCTACTACTGCTAACCCTGCACTGACTACCACTTCATCAGAATCTACAACCAGTTCAACATCCACAGAAACCACAGCCACCACGATTATTTCAACTCAACCTGAAACCACAATAGCCACCAGCACAACTTCAACTGAACCCACAAGTACAACAGTTTCAACAGAATTTTCAACCACAGTCACATCTGCTGAAACTATAGCCACGACCATCACATCGACTCTACCTGGAACCACAACAGCCACCAGTACTTCTGTCGAACCCACTAGTGCAACCACTTCAACAGAATCTACAACCACAGCTATATCTGCTGAAACTACAGCCACAACCATCACATCGACTCTACCTGAAACCACAACAGCCACCAGCACAACTTCAATTGAACCCACAAGTACGACAGTTTCAACAGAATCTTCAACCACTACAACGTCTGCTGAAACTACAGCCACGACCATCACATCGACTCTACCTGGAACCACAACAGCCACCAGCACAACTTCAACTGAATCTACAAGAACCACTTCAACAGAATCTACAACCACTACAACGTCTGCTGAAACTACAGCCATGACAGGCACAACCATCGTGTCAACTTAACCTATATCCACAACAGTCATGACTTCAAGTGAAACTACAGCAGCCAGCCCTGCCACAAAATCTACGACTGCTGCAACTACCACTCAAACTACCCCTTAACTACCCAGAACCATCACCTTCATTGAATCTGCATCTCCAGCTCCTCAACTCAGCTTACAACAACAGTGATTTTCAGCACTTGTAGTTGAGCCACAGTATTTCAATAGACTCTATAACGGTGACAACTTCAGTAACATCAAATACTGCTACAATTTGAACTTAGCTGATATCCCTCATACCATCTTTTCACTGAAACCCCAAACCATGTTCACTTCAACTGATTCTTTAAGCACTTCCATCTAACCTACAACTACTATAACTTTTACTGTCCTTCAATAGCTCATCACAAATGCCACCGTTACCACTTAAAGCCGAATAGAACTACTGTCAATCATCAAAATTATTTCTTCTATATCAAGTTAAACTTTCATTATAACCACCATAAATTAACCTATAACTATCTCCACACTGACTTTTCCCTAACACTGAAACTGTAGCTACTTCTAAGGTAGCTGAATCTATCTCGTTGACATTACTACATCATACCTATGGCAATTACCATGATGCCCCTTGAAGAACAATAATTTGGACCTTCAAATTGTCACAAAATTACCACTTAGGATTTCTAAAAGTATTAAAACTTTATACAAATGAAACTTTAAACTACAAGAATCTGATCCTGGTTCTATAATCCAAAATAATATAATTTCATATAGGAGAAGTGATCCAATGTGTTTATTTAGGGAATCATTAAGACATTTTATATAAACCTTATAATAAAACTAGCAATTTAGAATTTAGCATGTATTGCATTCCTCTATACACAAACTGCATGCTTAATGAACAGAAATTTTATATGCAGAAGGTTTAAGCATATGTATGTAGAAAAGTGTTAGAATTTTGCTGGGCACTGGTGGCTCACCCCTGTAATCCTAGCTACTCAGGAGGCAGAGATCAAGAGGATTGTGGTTCAAAGCCAGCCCAGGCAAATAGTTCACTAGACCCTATCTTGAATATACACATCACAAAAAAGGACTGGCAGAGTGGCTCAAGGAGAAGACCCTGAGTTCAAGCCCCAGTACCTCCCCAAGAAAAGAAAAGAAAAGAAAAGAAAAATGGTAGAACTTGTAAAAATTATTTCCTCTGTGGTGAAGTTTATTATGTTTCTTCAGTTTTTCTGTATACTATATTTTAATTGCCCATAATCAATAGTATTCTTTTTACACTAGTATTACAGAAAGTGCTTTTGGCTTTTTGAATTTATATTTCAAAATTAAATAACTGATTTTCTGCAATCTTGTAAGCCACTCAATTAAATGACATTTCTTGAGAATGACAAGGTGATTCTCAACTTTGTGTGACAGCACTGAAAATGTACAGAGAAAAAATGTCAATGCAGATTGAGTAGCAAACTCATTAATTAAAAATCTTAATTTTTAATTCTTCATAGTTCTGGAAGAATTAAATTACAATTGCTGATAACCCAGACTCACCAAATCAGGATCTTTAGATTGAAACTAATAACCTATAACATAACAAAACTTCATAAATGTTTACAATGTCCTGGAAGGTTTAGTTTGAGACTCTTAGATCCCAAAATCATGTTCTAATAATGACAATAGTTAGAGTGATAAAAATTATAATAAGAAATCCTAAAAATGTGAATCATGTTCCAAGTATATAAGAAAAAATCATAGATCTAGCTATGATACTATGAACAGAAATTTACATAATCGAATGTATATATGATCAGAAGGGAATGTTTGTAAATTGTAAAGAAATACTTTTAAGAAAAAATTTAAATTTAAGTTTCTATTCAAATTTTCATTATTTAATTTGTTGAAATTGGACCTAAGGGTGCACTCATTAGTAGTTTGATTAGCTGAGTTATTTTAATTATATGTGCTTAGAAATAATGACATTTTAGTAATTGCATTAATTTGGGTCATTCATAATACACATTGACTTCTCCTTCCCTCCTGGCTGGTTTTTGTTTTTGTTATTTTGAGTTTTCAGTGATAGTCTCACTACATAGCTCTTCCTGCTTCATCTGCACAGTGCTGGGCTGGCAGACGCACACAACTTGCCTGACACCTCCTTGGTCTTTTGATTAAGAGTATTTTAAGAGACCTTTTTTTTGGCAGTACTGAGGGTTGAACTCAGATCCTTGAATTTGCTAAGCCAGTCTACCTTTTAAGCCATGCCCCAACCCTTTTGTGCTTTAGTTATTTTTGAGAGATAGTCTTGCTTTATGTCCAACCTGGCTGGACTGTGATTCTCTTGATTTCTGCCTTCTGAGTATCTAAGATTATAGGCATGAGCCACCACACCTGGCCTTGAGATATTTAAAACCTTGCTGATTGGAGAGTTCAGTTTCTGATTTGGTGTTACCATTTTTAATTCTTTCACAGCTCTGTTCATAACCAGAATGATAAATAATCTAAAGTTTACTCATAACTCTAAATAAAAACATGCACAACATATTTAATAAAGAATGAAAAATTTCCTTGGTCTATGATATAATTGATAATTAAGAAATATACATTGAGCCAGGTGTGGTGGCTGACATATGTAAACCAAGCTATTTAGGAGGTGGAGATTGGGAGCATCACAGTTTGAGGCCAGCCCTGGCAAAAGTGAGTGAGACCCCCATCTCAATAAACAAGCCAGGCATAGTGATTTGTACTTGTTATCCCAACTACCAGGGGAGTCATAGGAAGGAGGATTGGGATCCAGGTTGTCCTAGGGCAAAATGCAAGACTTATCCTAAAAATAACATGAAAGCAAAAGGCTGGGTGTGTTGCTCAAGTGGTAATGCACTTACCTTGCATACATACATAAAGCCCTGAGTTCAAATCTCAGTACCACCACCACACACACACACACACACACAAAAGGAAAGAAATACACATCAATAAATGGCAAGTAACTTCTACTATAACTTGAATTACATAATAGTGTACTTGACTATTTTCTTAATGCTCAAATTTTTCATAAATCTGGACTTCATAATTTCTTATAGTGCACATTAAAGACTTTGACTTGAATGTGTGATGGTAGGAATACTTTACATCAAATTCTCTCAACCTGGATTCTATCCGTGGACATTTTGGGTCTGATAATTCTGGGGGAAACTGTTGTGTACACTGTGCCATGTTTGGTATCATCTTTGTGATACTCGTCGAGTGTGTGTTGCACCTGCCCTCTGTTGTGATAACTAAAAATGTCTCAAGACATTGCTAAGTGTGCTGGCTGAAATACATGGTTGTAATTACAGAGATATAAAATTTTAGTGAACTTACAGGCTTTCTAATAGTGAGAGCTATCCAGAGTGAATGAGTGAAACCTAGAGAATTAGCTCACTCCATTTGTGAACCTAAATAGATTTCACAATGAACATGCTGACCTCCAGATTCTGTTGCAATGTGAAGTCTTGAGTGATTTTTCTTCTGTTTGTTTTTGAGAATGGATTTCCATGGAACAGACTATCCACTAAGTAATTGGTAAGCTCATCGTTGTAGGTAGACACAGAGTGGAAGCAAAAGACTCATTTTTCTAGTTCCATCTTTATCATTAGAAGGGCTATGCTAGTTAAATAGTAGGGTTTTACTTTTCTCATCTATAAAATAAAAAGATGAGAATCGATCACCTCTGAAACTCCTTGCAGCTTTTCTTTGGGAGATTGAATCCATCAGATTAAATGGAGGTTGGGATGGGGAAGCAGTACTAATACCAGGGACCTTCTCCAGTCCTAGACTCAGTCTTGGTCACTCAGGAGCAGGGAGGTAAGTAACAGGCATATATGACACCAATGTCCTTGCCAATGTTGGTATTAAGTTTACACTGTCTTCACAACATGAGTTGGAGTAGGTTGCTTCTTTTCCTATTCCTTGAAAGAGTTTGTAGAAGATTAGCATTTTTATTTCTTAAGTGTTTGGTAGAATTTACTGGTGAAGCCATCTGATTCTGGAGGTTTTTGCAGGAAAGTTCTAGCCATGGCTCATTTTTAAAATAGAAATAAGTTTACTTTTTATATTTCTAGGTTTACAAATATGATTATGTTCCGATGAAATTTTGGCCCAGTTTTGAGCAGTAGCCTATCCACATTGGATGAACCCTTCTTGTTTTCTTTCAAAGAAGCTTTTGATTTTAGTGTACTTTTAGATTTTAGAGAACAGTTGAAATGATAGGACAGAGAGTTCCCATGTATTCCAACCCAGTTTCATTTTTTCCTAATGTTATCACCTCATATTACTATGATACATTTTTCAAAACTCAAAAGCTAACAGGGTACATGACTATTCTTTACACTGAACACTTTCTACAATTTTGCCAATTATTCCATTAGCGTCTTTTTTCTGCTCCAGGGTCCAAACTAGGTGACCACACTGCATTTAATCATAATTTCCCTTTAATGTCATTTGGGTGCTATACTTCTCAGTCTTTCTTTATTGGTCATGAACTCGACAGTCAAGAAATAGTTATGTGTAGAATGCCCATTAATGTCATTAGTTTGGTATATTTGCTCACCGTAGGCTAAGGTTGTGAATTCTTGGGGAGAATGTCACGGATGTGGAGTGCCTTTCTCATCACACATTATACTGGAGGTATGTGCTCTCCCCATGACACCACTGGTTTTGTTAACTTCAATCACTTGGCTAAGGTAGTGTTTATCATGCTCCCCACTGAAAACTATCCACTTTCTTATTTTTATTCTGTATTGTTTAGAAGCAAGTCACTAAGTACAGCTCAGTGTCAAGTTTGGAGTAAGCATTAATCTTTTTTCTAGATTATAATTGAGAGACCTCAATTATGCTAAGGAAAATGATTTCTTGCCTATGAAATTCCTAATATCATTAAGAAAATTTTTTACTTTTAATGTTGTATACCATGGCACATATGTTTTACAAGATAATTAAAACATTTTGTCATCTTAATCATTATTTCTGAAATATGATTAA